TTTGAAACTTACGTTAGATTTTCCTTTGTTTCAAGTGGCTATGCATCAAATTTCATTTAAATGCTTCCATAAATAAAAAAGTTTGCAATTCGGTTTATAATAAATTAGTCGAGATGCGAAAAGGGCACTGTGAATTTTGAATCGATTCGACTCAACTTTTGGCATTGCGTATTATATGGCTAAAGCTATGCCCATATTGAATTTGAAGTTAGGACGACAGTTTTAGGACCGTCTAGGCCATTGTTTAGCAGCAAACAGTGATTAAACTTTTTTTGTAATTATCTCTTTTTAACGCATTTTTTGCAAATTTATTTGTAAAACGGTGGGTTTTAATCTCGCTTTGGCCGGCTGGCTAGTTGGCTGGCAGCAAATTAGACCCCGTAGAAGATCGCTTATAGAAAGATGAGGAGTGTACTTGTACCTATTGGGCCGCATAATTAACAATTCTTTAGGGGCGGGGCTACATGATGTGGGGTCGGTGACATCCGAGCGCCATACCCGAGCGTGGTTTACTAACGTGGTGATTTTTCAGTTTTTCCTGCAGAAAAAGATAGAAAAATGATGCGTAACATTAATTTCTACAAAAAAAAACTAAATAGACTGTTCGAAGCGAATAATCGGACATGAAGATTATTTGGAATTGTATCGGAAGTAGGTACACGAGAAGTTTAAAAATTGGTTTGAAATTTCCAACGAGCAAACGATCAATTTATTAATAAACCTTATCTATAATGTGCGGTACAGATCTTGTAATCTTTATGCACTCGAATTTAAATAGGGACAATAAGTTTGTCAAAACCCTCAACAAATTTATTATTTAATGAACCTTCGATACTTACTATTAATTGTTGTGTGCGTATTTGATTTCGTTTCGCACATTTTATAGAATTGCAAGGTTTTAAATTATTCGACAGACGTACAATCAATGTATTTTTTTTACGGAATGCATCCTCTTGAAAGGTCGAGCAGTAAAGAAAAGTGAAAAATTCATTGATTTATTTAAAGAGAATGCACGTAAATTTATCAGTTCAAGGTCAGACATTATAAATGAATTCGTAAAGCCGCGGCTTTGAGTGGTTCATAAACGCGCTAATTCAGCTACCCAATTTAGTGATCTGTCCTACATAACAGGGGGCGCTGAATGAAAATTTTCCCTAAAGTCACTAAATATAGTAATATAATATCTAGTGACTTTAATTTTCCCCATAGATATATAAATACATAGATACAGCCATACCCCAACATAGTTCAAAAGGACGTACCATCTATTACCATCACTTTCAGCACATTAATTACGTATAGCGCTATCCTTTATAGAGGTACCCTGAGCATGGAAGACAAGATTCGCATTATTTATTATAACTGTCAATCAAATTGGTAACACAAATCACACAGAAAATGATCAGATTTGAGACTTTACAACATAAATAAACCGCCTTTTTATTTATTTAAATCGCATAGCAGCAAGAAATGTTACATTTAAAATGGAAGATGTTACTTAGAAAGCTGGCAAAAGAAGAATTTGAAAAAAATTACAGCTGACAACTGGAAGAAAGTGTGTGAACATGTGGAAAGTGATTAATTATTGGTTGACGTTGATGAACTTTATAATAAGTGTTAATATAATGACAGTGATGATTCAGATTTTGAACTTTTACAAACGTAATGAATGTTCACTAAATGAGTATTATCACCAATTGGATATCATTGTTAAGATGTTGTACCTATTTATTTTAAATAAATGTACACGTGTAGCTTACTTACTATAATTAGCACTATAATTTCAAAAAGAAACCCCACCGATTGGACATATGCCGAAAGGTAGGCAAGACGAGTAGCGACCAAAATTTGATATTGCACGCACACACAGTCTATAAATTTCCTAAGAATATTGCACGGATCCTTCTTTGTGATCATGATACAAACGCACTGCCATCAACATCATATAGGCCAAAATGATAATTGGAAACGAATTCACTTCCTATCGCAACTTAATCTCCGTTACCATTACACCTAAAACCATGCAATTAAAATTAAAATGTTAAACATAAACTTTACTTACCTACTTACGGTTTTTTTGATATTCTGCAAGCCAGCAATGAATTCACTGCAGCACATCATGCCAAACAAGGTAAACATATAGTCCTAAATTTGAATGGCGTAGCTCTATATAATAAAACTATTTCAGGAATAACAATTGTGGACGCGTCTATCATTATGGCAAGCACTGTTATTCGTATTCAATTGATAACGCAATAATTACATAATATTTAGTGAAAAAACCGCCCATCATGTTTAGGGCGAATATTTTTAGTTAGATTTGATTTCGCGCGATCGTGAAATGTGTCAACTGTCACATGACTTATGAGACGCGCTAAGTTTGTTTTAAGCGTCCGACTCGCGTACGACATAGTGGTTAATGCAATAAAAAGAGATAGAACATGTTTCTTCTTGGTTAGAAAGTAATGGAGAGATGTACAAATTTCTTTGATATGTTTTTTAAAAACCGAGGTACGTTTGTTAAGGATAGCTGTATCTAGGTATTTATATATCTATGATTTTCCCACGCTTACATCGCCATCTACTTATGAGGTGTGTGAAAGGTGGCCAGAAATTAATAAGCGTCTGGAACTCTTATTGTATTTACTCTATACCTTGAGTTGAGACTTTCAGTTTGAATATTTGTGGAAGTTTAGTGCAGTAAACAAAAGTCAATGTACTTAATTTTTATTGTATTTACTCGCTTTATTATAAATTACGTTGCCGTCGGCTACTTAGGGGTAAGTGACACCTGAATTTGGTTTTATTTGCTTTCACTGTAGTTTTTTTGTACCACTGGATTTTTGTCAATTTTTAGATGATCTTTAAACTCATTTAGATCGATTAACGGCTTCAATCTCTTGGTATTTTTTGATTGTCAGTAATTATTTTCGCCCGTACAGAGGACAAAATTTTACTTAGGGCATTTGTCTCGAAATACAACTTTAGTCTAAGTGTTACCGTATCGAGGACCTTAGATACCTTCTGGACTGGAAGAAGTCCGACTAATTAATCATGTATTTCATGTACTTGGTTTAAGAGACTGTTTCACAATTTGCAAGTGGGAAAAAGTGTGGAGTTGCTTTTAAATCCCTTTGAGTTGGCCACTTTTAAGCATATCAATGTATTAGGTTAACGTCACATTTAAATTATTCAAATTAAAGAGTTACTTCTTCGGATTATTACCTTTTGCATATTGTAATGTGATGTAAAATGTGTGTTTAGCGTTCTTCTACAGTTTCGCTTTTCTCCGATTTCACCCCTATATTTACCCTATAGGAACAACGATTTGGAATTTTTTTTGGCTCGGCGTCGAACAAAAAATCAGAAAGTCCGATCGCGTCTGAATCTCTCCTCTGCCTTCATGGAGATAGAAGAGCGGGACGGTTCAAACACCATACAGACTTTTGTTCACCAACGACAAAATATTTATTCCTAAATGACAAGAACCAGAGTTGAAAATAAAACCCTTCGATACGCCCCTGGAGTAAGTCGCTAATGAATCCGGAACTCGACCCTTCTCGGTACTTGAGCTACAGCCAGAACAGTATGATGCTAGATATGGATGTAAAGGATGTCCTACCGCTCATTAAAATCGAACTAAAAGAAGAAGAAATCCACTCTGATCTTCAAGGAAATATTTTAGTGGGCAACGAAGCTTTGGTTACAATAAAGGACGAAATTACCTTTACTACACAGTGCTTATTCCTTGATGATGAGGAAATACAACAAACTGATAGTGGATGGATTGCTAAAACCGAGGCTAAAACTGAAATTTTCAAGGATTTTGAATGTGACTTCGGTCAACGCTCAACAAACAGTGTGCTGCCAGTTAGGCACCATCTTTTAAAACATACCGATTCTAGAGATTTCAAATGTGCTACTTGTGATTACGACACAAATAATAAATCCTACTTTAAACAACACCTTTTAAAACATAGTGATTCTAAGGATTTTAAATGTGGTCAATGTAATTACGAGACAAGTAACAAATATCACTTGAAACGACACATTTTCATTCATACCGTTTCTAAAGACCTTAAATGTACTAATTGTGATTACAAGACAAATCGAAAAAACAACTTTAAACGACACCTTTTAACACATACCGATTCTAAAGAATTTAAATGTGCTAATTGTGATTACAAGACAAATTACAAAGACAACTTTGCAAGGCACCTTTTAAATCATACCGATTCTAAAGATTTTAAATGTGCTAAATGTAAATACGCGACAAGTAACAAGTACCACTTCAAACGGCACTTTTTAACTCATAGCAATTTTAGAGATTTGAAATGTGCTCATTGTGATTACGGAACAAATAATAAACGGTACCTTAAAGGACACATTTTAACACACAAACTTTGCAGTAATGTAAATGTGCTAAAATGTGGCAATTGTGATTACGAGACACGTAACAAATTTTGTCTTAAACAACACCACTTGACACACACAAACCGCTTATAGAAGTAACAGTCTCAGTTAAATATTATTTTTTAGTATGTGCGGCCTAATTTACGGTGATAATATATTTTAAAATGTTAGTGGATGTAGAAACATGCGATTGATTAGAGCAAGATGTCTTGGACCCGCTCAAACCGTATTTTTGTTTACAAATATTGTAGTCACATTTCGTGACACTTTAAAATAAAATATAAAACATTAGACAGAATTCATTTCAAACCAAAGTTTTGCCGTGCTCCTCTAGAACCCATCGGTCAAAAGAATTTGATAAGCCAAAGGGTGGCCAGCTCAAACAGATTTCAAAGCAACTCCACTCCTTTCCGATTTGTGAAAAATAACATTCCAAAGTCTCTTACATAAAGTAGGTACATGAAATGCATTGTTAATTAGCCGAACCTTTTCTAGTCCAGAAAGTATCTGAAGGTCCTGAATACGGTAACCTTAGACTAAAGTTGTTTACTTTCTGTCGCTCCTGTAACATAATAATGGATGAACACTAAAATTAATAAAATGTTTATTCTAATAGCTTTAACTTACAACAGCATAATATATTTACAATAGTTTAACCTTCACCAAACCATATTGACAAACAGTATACGTTTGTTCGTTGGTCTTCTTGAAGCATGGCGGTCACTGTTCAAAGTGGCAGCTACAAGAAACCCTACAAACAAACCCAGGAACAAAATTGCACAACCTAATTTTTTAAATGTCACAATTGTTTAAAAATCGAAAAACCGCACAAGACGGTGTGGGCTCAGCATCCCAACATTTTTTGCAACCTTTCGATTGTTGTTTGGAAGCTTCCTTTATGTTTACAATAACTTCCTATAGAGGTCGCCTATTTTTCTTCAATTACCTCTAAATGCATTCACTTATAAAAATAGAATAAATTCACTATACTAATAATAATAATAATAATAACTTTTATTATGTTTAAGTAACCGAAAAAAGTTACATACAATCGTCAAAATAAAAAATAATTACACAAAAATCTAAACCGAGATCTAAACTAATACATAAATTTAAATTTTTTCGGCGAATTTAAAATTAAAATATTCATTTTGGGAATAGAACGCCTTTGACAACAAAAATTGTTTAATGTTGTTGCTAAAAACCTTTTCATTAAGCAACTTAATAGTATCGGATAGATGATTATAAAATTTTATTGCAATATATTCTGCACCTTTTTGCGATATACTTAATCTTAAAAGGGGTAAACGATAATCCTCCTTGCTACGTGTATCGTGAGCATGAATCTGATGTTGTTGCCTATACTTAGCGAGATTTGCCTTAGCATAACACAAGCAGGTAAAAATAAACAGACAAGGCAATGTAAGGATCTTTAAATCTATAAATGCCTGTCTGCAATCATCAATGCCTGTCTGCAATCATACTTAGTGTTTGGTATCACAGTACTTTCTCCCCGTATCGATAAAAGACCTACAACATGATAAATTATAACAAACCTTCCAGTCTTAGATCATTATCACCATAAGAAATTCTCCAATTCGGAATTGATGTAGTAGTCCGTTTTATAGTAATAATATCTCTCTATGTAACTAACAACTGTCGGCGGGTCAAATGAATTATAATTATTCTCTTTGTAGTAACTAATCTGAAATACAATGATAAAATACGATTTAGATTTCCCGTCGATAGTACGTTTATATTGAAGTCTCTCGCCCGATGCACGGTCCACTCCAAAAAGCTAACAGGGAAGGTGATTTCGTTTAAATATTTACTTGTGTTGAAGACAAGGTCGCTTTCTTCCAAGGGGCTCACGAACATAGATTTATACCAAGGCATATACCAATTAATCTAAAATTTCATGATTAAAAATATTAGAGGTTCTTATTCTTCTGCTCTATGCCAAGACCCTTTTACTACCTGAGCTATAAACCAGGAGTACGCCAACTGTTCGCCCATCGTCGTAAATGGGTTCTCGAGCAGCACGCCGCAAGCAGGCATGCTTTGATTGGATAGCACCGCGGCGGTATGTGCCGCTATGGCGGACCCCAAATTGTCACCCCACAAAAAGACGCTTCCGTTGACGTGCGCGCGCAACCACTTAAAAACCTCGACGCTGTCGCGCACCAATCCGCTTTCGTTTAAGTCATCCACGTCCGAGTCTCCATACGCTTAAATCTCACAGTGAAACCACCCCAGGTGAACGTCTGAAAGTACGTACCGCGATAATCGAATACGATTATGTTGAATATATGAAGCAGTCGCGAGTAATCCGTAAGATAACTACGTCTATTTCCGTAGCTGTCGTGGAACAATAGCAGATAGTTATTTGTGCTAGTGCGTCCGTTGTAACTGCCGGAATTTCCTTTGCCATATTCGGTCAAACTCCAAGCGCCCACTCGGGAATTTCGTGTACTGTCCACCGTCACGTAGAAATTATCTGGTTTTATGAAAGTCTTCGAATCATAACTCTTATGAAGCTTTATTACTTCATTAAAAGATTCGTGCGTAGCGACGACTAAAAACGAGAAACTATATACCACAGACATTATAATCTTAAAACGTTTTTTTAAAGAATTCTCTTTTTTGAAAATTGTTCAAAAATTTTAGGTTTTTAGGCTTATTAGGCGTTGAGCCAGGTGGTCAAAAATGGACGATTTGGTTTCCTTTCGGGGGAGTAAGTGTAACCTACTAATTTAGATTCGTCATGAAGATAGGATAAATGTTTGGCGTGATACTTCGTAAAATTCGGTAGCTTAGTGACGTCACAAAGATGGCCGCCGGGCGAAAATCTTAGCTAATAAGCATTTTAAACTTTAAAGTCTGGTTTCATGTGTAAGGAGTAATAGAATCATACAAATTTTGATTCAACATAAAGCTAGGGTCAATGTTTGAGATGATACTTTGTGAAATTCGGTATTTTAATTACGTTACGACGCCACAAAGATGGCCGCCGGGCTAAAATTGTAGTTTACCATTCCAAAGTCACAGTATCATCTCCAACATTAATCCTAGCTTTATGCTGAATCAAAATTTGTATGATTCTATTACTCTTTCCAAATGAAACCAAACTTTGGAATGGTAAACTACAATTTTAGCCCGGTGGCCATCTTTGTGACGTCATAACGTCACTAAGCTATCGAATTTTACTAAGTATCATACCGAACATTTCTCCTACCTCCATGATGAATCTAAATTTGTAGGTTACACTTACTCTCCAGAAAGGAAACCGCACATGCCCTCTGGCTCAACGGCTATATAAGGAATATTAAAAATGCCTTCTGCAAATCCTGTACGTCTTGCTATGAATTTGGAAAACCTGTTTAGGGATCGAATTTTGTTGAAAAGAACTTCGAAATTATTTAAAAAAATTGTAAAACCTTCTAAAAAAAACTTTCACAGGACTCTTTCTTGGCCTTTGCTCAAAAATCTAAAAAATATGTTACCTTTTTTGGGAAACGTGAAAATGCGTTATTTCAAAGAAGGGCATTAAGAAAAGTTAATCAAGAACGATATCAGAACCTAAATGTAAATACCATACACGATAAAGGTAGTAAGAACGAGAACAAACGACGAATCACACGACCCATGTTCCCATTTAAAAAAATTCAAGATGGCGGTGGCACTCAAACGCCCTGTATAACAAAAAAAATCTTTCTAACCTCAAAACATTTGAATCAAATGAAAACATTTTAATTTTCAATTTGAGCGTGAATGCTTCCGTTTCATCTTTAATTAGCGACTCTGTATAATCAAAAATACGTACCAGGGCTGAAAATAACACGTTGTCTAAAAGCAGTGGAGCACTTAAAAATCAAAGGTACAAAAACACCGACGATCATAAAAAACAGTAATAAGATCGTCAATCTGCAAAAGAAACGTTACTAACGGCAGTAGTTCGTCTGTATGACGATTTACATAAAAAAGAACGTGACCTTCCGACATTTCCTTGATCGACTGTGGAACCACACGAACCCGAGCCAATTCCAGAATCTCCTCAGGCGCGATTTTATCGGTTTCCATGAGGGAAAATTTAGCCGCACGGTTTTTTTGTACTCGGTCCCTTTGTAACTGACGAGCGGTGTTTCGGATATTTCTTCTTCAGGCTTCGACTTGGCTACGAAAATACAAAATGTAATTATTTACTTACGTCGGTAATTTAATAAGGTTACGTATAAGGCACGCAAATTCCAGTTCAAAGCAAGACATCTTCGCACAATATTGTGCAACTTTTAATGATAAACAAATTAAAGTGCAAAAAAACTAGATTATGTTGGTATCATAGAAAAAATAAAAAACTAGGTTAAATTTGATTGACGTTGGCAGTGGCTATTTCTCGGCTACTAGTCTAGACTGTGGCTCTGCTCACCAGAAACTGGTATACAGCTTGTCCATCAGTTAAATTGGATTTAACTCAAAATTTGACTATCGATGATGTGGAGTAACAGTTTGTCCCCCAACTGGTGATCTCCAACCAGTTTTTCTGTTTTTTAATGGTGTAAGAACATTGGCAATGGGCAGTTTGCCCATTCTCACATATGATATTTACTATATGTGATGTTCTTGCCTTTATTAGAAGCATCTGTGGTAAAAATTTCAAAAAAATATCTCAATAAATAAGAAAGTTGAGCTGCACATGCGCAATTTTAATCGTCAAGATTTTTCTTGGTTGAGGTGTCGGAGCTAAGCTACCGAATGCAAAAAAATCAAACAAAATATCTTTAAAACGGACAGACGGCCAGAGGAAGTGGCCATAATAACGCCCTCCAACGCCAAAAAGAAATTTTTAAGTTCAATCCAGTGGCGGAGTAAAAAAAATTTTTGCACCGCCGTTTCTTTGATTTGACCCAATGTTGGTATTTTTTAAATGCAACACCCTGTATATCTTAACATCATTTAGTTTGCTTTCTTTTTCACGAGTTTTTCATACAATATTCGACCAGCCTCTCCCCTTTTTCGTTTCATATTACGCCGATCTCTTTCAAATAGGCAGATTTAACCATTTCTCTTAGTATCATTTACACTCTTGTTCTTACCCCTTTTATCTCCGCAATCTCCATTCATGTCCTACCATATCGAAATTATTCTTTCCCTGTCAGCACGAGCTTTTTTTGCATTTAGTGACTACATAAAATACTTGACCTGATATAAATGTGGATGAATACACTATTCAACTTTGCGCAGTGGCGATATTGTAACCAATGAAGAAATACTGAGGTGCAATTATTGCTAGTTCAAAAACCAGGCAAAAACTCCATGACTATAACTCGGAATGCGATATACGCTACATACATTACAATAAAAGTTATTATTATTAAAAACAAGTTGCCATACGTAACCAACGTTCATGCTCTCCAGATGGCGCAGACAGCCTTCCCCTCCGCCTCACCAATGAATTGCGCGGTTGCCAACTCAAAATTGTGTGCATCGTCGTAAGTTGTATATCAAGGGTGAATCCTCTCACACTAGCAGGGGTTATAACTTCGGGCGTTCGGGGTATTTGCAAACGTTGTAAAACAATTCGAACGTTATAGGTATGGATTTGGTTTTGGATGCAAATTATGTCCTTAAGATTGAACCAAAACAAGAAAAAGAAATCCATTCTGATCTTCAAGATAACATTTTAGTAAGCAACGCAGCATTGGTTACAATAAAGGACGAAATTACCATTACTGCACAGTGCTCCAAATCGCTCGATAATGAAGAAGTACAACAAATAGATTGTGGATGTAACATCAAAACCGAAATTTCCAATGATTTTGAATGTGACTTCGGTCAACACACTACAAATAGTAGCTTCATCAACTATGCTCGTAATTGTGGAACAAAGAATAAACGACGGCACATTTTAACACACAAACATAATGCACTACAATGTGCTGTTTGTGATTACAAGACAAATAAGCAAAACAACTTTAAACGACACCTTTTAAAACATAGCGAATCTAAAAATTTTAAATGTGTTAATTGTGAGTATGAAACAAATGACAAATACTATTTTAAACAACACCTTATAAAACATACTGATTCTAAACATTTTAAATGTGCTACTTGTGATTATGAGACAAATTATAAACAGTGTTTCAAACAACACCTTTTAAATCATAACGATTCCAAAAATTTTAAATGTGCTAATTGTGATTTTGAGACAAATAACAAATACTACTTTAAACGACACCTTTTAAATCATACCGATTCTAAAGAATTTAAATGTGCCCATTGTAATTATGAAACAAATAATAAACAATCTCTTAATCGACACTCATTAAAACATAGCGATTTTAAACTTTTTAAATGTTCGGTTTGTGATTACGAGACAAATCAGAAAAACAGTCTTAAACTACACTTTATGAAACATACCGATTCTAAAGATTTTAAATGTGCTAATTGTGATTATGAGACAAATTACAAAACCAACTTTAAAAAACACCTTTTAAAACATGCTGATTCAAAAGGTTTTAAATGTGCTCATTGTGATTACGAGACACATATTAAATACCACCTTAAACGACACCTTTTAACACATATCGATTCTAAAGATCTTAAATGTGCTAATTGTGATTACAACACAAATAATAAATACCACTTTAAACGACACCTTTTAATACATATTGACTCTAAAGATTTTAAATGTGCTAATTGTAATTATATGACAAATCAGAAAAATCACCTTAAACGACACCTTTTAACGCATACCGATTCTAAAGATTTTAAATGTGCCCATTGTCATTACAAGACAAATTACAAACACTGGTTAAAACATCACCTTTTGAATCATACCGATTCTAAAGAATTTGAGTGTGATGATTGTGATTACAGGACAAATAATAAATACCACTTTAAACAACACCTTTTAACACATAATGATTCTAAAGATTTTAAATGTGCTACTTGTCATTTCCAGACAAATAACAAATACCACTTCAAACAACACCTTTTGAAACACAATGATTCTAAAGAATTTAAATGTGCCCATTGTAATTACGAGACAAATTACAAACACTGCTTTAAACAACACCTCTTAAATCATACCGATTCGAAAAGGTTTAAATGCGCTAATTGTGATTACAAGACGAATAACAAATACCACTTTAAACGACACCTTTTAACACATTTAGATTCTAAAGGTTTTAAATGTGCTAATTGTGATTACCAAACAAATAACAAGTACTACTATAAACAACACCTTTTAAAACATACTGATTCTAAAAATAATTAATTGTGATTACTAGAATCTTTACAAATTCTGTCTTCTAAGGCACACACACCGTTTTTACAAGGAACAAATCTCGTTAATTTAAATACTAGTTCTGTAGTGTGTGGTGACTTCATGAGAGGAAGGTTACGTATCGTAGCGTTTTCCCGAAATCGTCTTGAAATTTTCATTTTCCTGTCTTACTTATGTCAGCGGCAGTAGCACTTTCCCTGATTGTTCTTCCTGCCTCCTGTCACTTTATCAGACTCCTATCAAAACTGACACATAAACATACCTAATTAAAGTTTTATATGAAAAAGGCGATTCCGAGAAAAAATAATACAAAACATATATTTGAACGTCTGCGTGCGGGGTAAATTGTTCAAAACAAGCTTTCAGGAATTTTGTTTATTGTTCGTTTCATGCGTTTCGGAATAAAATGTTGCCATTGTCAATCAATTATGTGTTTATTTAAACCCATTGTGCGACCCGAGATACACAAAGAACAAAAACAACACAAAAAACCTCGCATAACACACAGATACAAGAAATAAATCAATTACAACAAACTGCAAAAACCATGCATCTCAAATTGTACAGGGTGAGTCGACGATTGCGCTAAGTAACTTAATGCCTTTTTCGATGGAGTGCTTTTTGTATTATGATATGGTTGAATATCCTCCACATTTTAAAAATATTTGCAAGCGTCAGTATATTGTCAAAATTATTACTTAAATTTTGATTCCAGCTTTTATATCTTATAATACATTTACTATGAAACATTAAAAATATAGCTTACAGGGTGTTTTTTTGGTAGGTCCAAAGTTGCAAAACTTCATATTAAAAAATCTCACTTTTTTATAGTCAAATGGTTTTACTTAATTCTCCAGTTTCTGGACTTAAAATAAATTTTCGTTTTGGATGAGATAGATAAAAATTGCCTTTTTTTGCATGGCCACCTCAATATTATGTAAATTACATGTAACTTATGTAAGATTAGAATATGAAAACCAGGAAAACCAAGATATTTCGAAAACTATCAGGATAGGTGTATGACATTATTATCATAAGTTGAGGGTTTTTGGAGGAGCTAAAAGATGACAGAAAAATATACAAGGTGTTCCATTTAAAAAAGAGATTTTTTAATATGAAGTTCTGCAACTTTGGACCTACCAAAAAAACACCCTGTAAGCTATATTTCTAATGTTCCATAGTAGATGTATTTATTTGACTTTCACTTAACCCAGGATAAAAGATATAAAACCTGGAATCAAAATTTAAGTAATAATTTTGACAATATATACTGACGCTTGCAAATGCTCAATTTTTCCTTAAAATCGATTTATCTTTAAAACTACTAGCTTTTCGGATATTAATCATCATATAATAAAAAAGACGTACAATTACACGTAGAATTCAAAAATGCATTCAAATACAGGGGGTTCTTTAAAAAATGTACCATTTCGGCGCCCTACTTCGTGGGCGCACCCTGTATAATTAAAAATATTTTTAAAATGTGGAGAATATTCAACCATATCATAATACAAAAGCACTCTATCGAAAAATCTTATCTTCAAGGCATTAAGTTACTCCGCGCATCGTCGACACACCCTGTACAATGAAAATCAGGTACCTAATTGAGATAAATGGCCGAATGCGGTTAGTTTGTAAGTTATTGACTTGGTTGCTGCGTGTATGTCTACGGACGTGTTGTTTGTAAACACCTTTCGTAACTGTGACTGCCGGGACTGTTCTTGAATCTCAACTATACGCTAGGAAATTCCGCACGAGCACCCATTGTTACCCGTCTCAGGTGTGGAATTCTGTTACATCATCACTATGTATTTAAATCTACAAACATATCATGTGTTCTTATAATTCTTTTGAAATCAGGACAGAAAGGATTGTGGTACAAAACTTTATTTACATTCACAATCAGAAAATACTGGGCAATAAAAAGGTCAGTCTTTAGGTAACGTTCAGTCGCTTATAGTTTTGTGCATCCTCCATGTGTTCTCTAAAAGCAAACCATACATTCACAGTTCCTCGTGAGAAATCCTACCTTATATATTCCGGTAGCATGGGAGCTTTATAAATCGCCCAATGCTGTAGGTGCAAATCCGCCTCGAATAAGTGCAGACGCACCACACCCTGAGTTGTTAAATTACGCTTCGCAATTGCGATATCGTACAGCTGAAACGAACGACGTTAAATTTCCGCGTTCCGTCGGCCCCTAAGCGCTTACCTTCACCGCCAATTGGTAAGGGATGATCTCGTCGTCTTTCGCGTGTAAAATCATCACGGGACAGTCGACGTTGGAAATGTGCGCGCTTATTTCGAATCGAAAACCATTGTTCCAAATCGGGTCGAGTATCGTGCTGTTAAACCACGGTAACCACAGCATCGCCTTCGCGGGAGGAAAGAGGACGGCTTCCTCCCGAAGAGTCGTGTACGGAGATTCCAAAATTAAACCGGCGGGTACAATGTTGAGATTGCGCAGTCTTGAGACGGTTAGGGTGGAGACGGCCGTTCCCATCGAATGGCCCCAGACGTATATATCGGCCGTGGTTCGATTACGTAGCCATTTGTATAGCTCGACGGTGTCCTGCACCAGACCCTCCTCGGTTAAGGGGGCGTCGGTGGAGTCCCCGTAACCTGAACCACACAGATTCTTTAGGTATCAATGTTTACAGTAAACACTCACTTCAAATCTGTACACGTGCTATCTATTACTTTTTTTTTATTATTTATAGGCCCGCCCACTATACATTTACCCCGAATCCAGATTAGCCGAACGATGTATGTGCTTGCCCTCGCTTATCTCGCATCGCGTGCTTTTAGCGAAAACGTACACGTTGTTATCACCAGACATATTTTCGTTCACGTTCGCTATTAAGCGGTTCAATAAAATACAAATTTGACAATACATTTTTTGGAAACGGCTGTAGCGTCCGCAGCCCTAAGAGTGCAAAAGACTTACAGTATTCCAATAACATAAAAAATTCAGGAGTCACATTTGGCATTTATGCGCAATAAGATGTTGAAAAACCCCATTGTACAAGGCGGTAACAAAATCGTACTTGAATTCCAAAGCCACCTTCCTGCGAATGGTGAACTACACATTGACAACCGCCCTAAATTGTATTAGCACCCTGTACTAATATCTTCAACCATGGTAAAGCTAACGCTGACGTCAAAAACTTAAGCTAAAGGAATTTTTCCAACTCGCAATTCTTATGAACGGCAATATCAATAAAACTTCTACATGAGAAAACATTACCCCTCCTCCGAATACGACCCTCAACTAATTCAAATTTATAAAAGCAAACACCCCAATAAATTGACAAGCAAGTAATGCAAAACAATTACATTACATCCTATGTTAATTACAATAATTACGAAACAATAAAAGATACATTTATTTATATTTGCGAATCAACACCAAAAACTATCCACGTGCTGCCGCCTCAGCTAAAACTTTCCACCCCTTCCTTTTCTCACTTGAGAAAAGCCGAGTGAGCACCCGCTCGCGCATCTGCTTTCTTGTGCAAATTTGAATTGACGGACTTCCCGCGAAAACATTCCCAGTGACGTAACGTAGTGTTTTTCTCCTCTAAAAAATTCATAAAACCGGGAACGATGTCATTAAAAAACTGCCACCAGGTACTAAGAGTTTTCCCCGAAAAATTCATTTCTTTAGCGGATTTTTTAAGAATTAAAAAATGTGCTACTGTTTGCGTTTTGTACGTCCGTCCGTACGGACCCACTTCTGCCGTTTCGAACTACTTATAGGGGAATGGTTCTAGAGTTTTGCAGTTGGTGCTTTTTTGAGCCGAATCAAATGTTTTCGTTATTTAGATTATTCCAACGACGCAACTCAACTACATTCTCAATCTAGCAAAAAAAATGACAAACTGTAAACAATTTAAAAAGGCGTTTGCTAACAAAACGGCGGCGATAGGTCCCTACTGCATTCACTATAAGAAGGTAGTAGATGGCGCTATGTTTGAAGCACACGCGGGAAAAATATAAAACGAATCCAAGCTTGGATTTTTGACATTAATACTAATGACAGTTCGACAGTTTAGTTGGCAACACAAACTACCAAACTTACAAAATTCGTCACGCGTTTTATTTTTCAGCGTAATACCGACTTGTGTTTGAACCAATCACAGTAAAGATGCTTTCTACCGCTACCTTCTTAAAATGAATAGAGTATATACGTACAGGGTGAGTCAACGATTGCGCGGAGTAACTTAATGCCTTGAAGATAGGATTTTTCGATAGAGTGCTTTTGTAAAATGATATGGTTGAATATTCTTCACATTTTAAAAATATTTGGATTTATACAGGGTGCGCCCACAAAGTAGGGCGCCCAAATGGTACATTTTTTTAAATAGAACCCCCTGTATTTGAATGCATTTTTGAATTCTACGTGTAATTGTACGTTTTTTTTTATTATATGGTTAATATCCCAAAAGCTAGTAGTTTTAAAGATAATTCGATTTTTAAGAAAAATTGGGCATTTGCAAGCGTCAGTATATTGTCAAAAATTATCACTTAAATTTTTATTGCAGGTTTTATATCTTTTATCCTGGGTTAAGTAAAAGTCAAATAAATACATCTACTATGAAACATTAAAAATATAGGTTACAGGGTGTTTTTTTTTGGTAGGTCCAAAGTTGCATAACTTCATATTAAAAAATCACACCTTTTTTAAATAGAACACCCTGTATATTTTGCTGTCATCATTTAGCTCCACCAAAAACCTTCAACTTTTGATGATAATGTCCTATACCTATCTCTGATAGTTTTCGAAATATCTTGGTTTTCCTGGGTTCTATATTCTAATCTTAAATAAGTTATATGTAATTTACATAATAGCCTGGTGGCCATGCAAAAAAAAGGCAATTTTTATCTATCTCGTCCAAAACAAAAATCATATCGATTAATTTATTTTTCAAAACAATTTATTTTAAGTCCAAAAACTGGAGAATAAGTAAAAACATTTGACTACAACGCAAATTTAATTTAACTCCTAATGTCATCCAGTCAGTGATATTGGTTTCATTTTTTTTCATATTCATCTCGATATTATGTAAATTAGAACTTATTTTATATTAAAATATAAAAACTAGGAAAACCAAGATATTTGTTTGTTTTACTATCAAATGTATTCTCTTGTTTTTATAGACTTAAATGAATTACTAGAAAAATGAATTAATAAATATAATTTTAGCTTTGAACGAGGCAGATAAAAATTGCCTTTTTTTGCATGGCCACGGCCACCTTACTATTATGTAAATTACATATAATTTATTTAAGATTAGAATATAAAAACCAGGAAAACCAAGATATATCGAAAACTATCAGAGATAGGTATAGGACATTATTATCAAAAGTTGAAGGTTTTTAGAGAAGGTAAAAGATGACAAAAAATATACAGGGTGTTCCATTTTAAAAAAGTGAGATTTTTAATATGAAGTTTTGTAACTTTGGATCTAGAAAAAAACACCCTGTAAGCTATTTTTTTAATGTTTTATAGTAGATGTATTTATTTGACTTTTACTTAACCCAGGATAAAAGATATAAAACCTGGAATCAAAATTTAAGTAATAATTGTCACAATATACTAACGCTTGCAAATAACCAATTTTTCTTAAAAATCGAATTATCTTGAAAACTACTAGCTTTTCGGATATTAACCATATAATAAAACAGACGTACAATTACACGTAGAGTTCAAAAATGCATTCAAATACGGGGGTTCTATTTAACAAACGTACCATTTTGGCGCCCTACTTTGTGGGCGCACCCTGTATAATTCCAAATATTTTTAAAATGTGGAGAATATTCAACCATATCATAATACAAAAGCACTCTATTGAAAAATCTTATCTTCAAGGCATTAAGCTACTCCGCGCAATCGTTGACTCACCCTGTACAATGGGTATAGGCCACTGGTCAAGAAATGCAAACAGCTGAGGGAGTAAACAACGCTCAGCATTGCCTTGATATATCAGTCCTCCTCTTCCTATGTACCAAGTTGAAGTTTTACACCATCATAGTCACACTACAGCTTCATCACTGGATTTTCGCACAGCGCCACCTAAACTTTTCCAACGGAACTTTGGAAGTATTTGCTGTTAGCTATCGTTTGTTAAAAAACAATAAATTGTGGAAGGTTCATTAGTCGTAGGACCCCCTCTTGCCACCTGTGCAATTTAATTGGAACCAATGAAAATAATTTACTGAAATTTTGTATAGATCAACCCCCTTTTTGATCCAGTTTTCATCCGACCGATATTTATATTTCCCCCGTGCAGTACTTACGACACCACTTACTTCGATAATCAAAACCGACGACGTGGAAGAACTTTGTCAGTCGTAAATAAACATCCAGGTGATACAAGCGATTCCCTCCGTTCCCGTGGCAGTGAAACAACACCGGATAATCGCCCTTGGCCAGCGCCTCTTCGCCATCATCCTGCGTAACATTTAGTAGTGCTTGCGGCAGTAAATGCCACACACCCAGCGTGATATCCTCGTTGACCGTAACGTAGAAGTTACGCCCGCCCGGTACGACGCCGCTCAAGTTGAACTCGTGTCTATTACCTGTAACCGGCTCGAAGAGAAACAGTCGCTGTATCTCGATCGATAGCATAAACGTTATCGGAAATCCGACGAAAACGGAAAGAAAGGCAATCACGAGAACTGCGAGGCTGCAAGGTTTTATTATTTCAGAAATTTTTTCCTCATTTACTCACACGAGCAGTACACAAATTAAGCAGCACCTCTTCGACGACATTTTTCACCATACTTAGCATGTAGAAAACTGGTTACAATAATTACATTGTGAAACTTAAATTACATAAGTAAATAAATGCTGGGTCAGCGATACTTTCCCATGTTACATAAAATGGGAAACGAATTATTTACAAATAATAGATAATTAGGTGACTAATTCTATTGGTCGCGCGACAGATGGCGCTGGTCGGTCTTGATTCGTTTTTCCTCCATTGTCGGAATTGTAGCAGTTTCTCAGGTGATTTCTGCGAATTGATAATAATAATTAATGACCTTGTTTACTCATTTCGTGCATATTACATTATGTTGAATGGCACAGGGTTCAAAGTTAGTTTTTCTATGTCGGATAAGGTCAGGTGGCCATGGTAAGTGGTGCCACGCCGTGTTTAACAATGATAGCCACCTTTGATCATTTATATTCTATAGATATAGCCTACCTTAAGGTGGCTACAGACTATGCATTTACGATGCGGGATTCGTCCGATTCGTTGTAGTTCGTAATAATTCGCAAACAGAGCATACAGACCTTCTCTTATATATATGATACAGACCATGCGTTTGTTAACAATTCCCAGGTGCATTTGAAATTATTACTGGTCTTGTTTTAAAATTGCATTTGTACTTGGTGACAAAATCACACCGGCCACATTTTAAATCCTTGCCAGAATACATGTCTTAACATAAGTTAGTTGTACTTTAAGACTGAATTTATGTTGGTGACGAAAGCGCACTGGACACACTTTAAATCCATGGTGCTCCTGTACGTCATAATTAGATTTATGATTCGTTGCATAGTCGCACTGGGTACATTTTAAATTGTTGGTACTCTCGTGTTAAAATGCTGTTGCGGATATGCGGTGTTCTACTTACAGTGCAAAATATATCTGTCTTTGTTAGGTAGGGTGAATTACAGTCTTCTTTGTGTCGTCAAGGGTTTTTAAAAATCCCCAAGTCCTTAGAAATCCTTAGTTGGATTTAAGAGGTTTGGCTTGAAGAGCTTTTATAAGTTTTAGATGTTTAAGATCTTTTAACAGTTACATAGTAGTCTCCAGGAGCCTCAAAAAGTCCTTGAGATTCTCTGTTACCTGTCGGAGCTGAGCATTTAAGAACTTTTGAGGGGCTCTAAAAGCCTTTAAGAAACCTTAAGGACCTTTGAGAGATTGTAAGATGCTTTATTGATGTTTAACAGTCATGGGACACCAATTGTTTCTAAGGGTTGTCAATGTTTCTACATTCGTTTAATGGCATTTTGAGCATCTAACAGTCTTTTGAGAACTCTGAAGGGTCTTTAAGGGCGTGATCTTTAAAGTGACTTGGATTTTGATTAAGAGCCTCTACCAACAAGAGCTTCCAAAAATCGCGGCCAAGGGTCTAGAGTTTTCACGCGTGTTCAAAGCCTCCGCTTCCAATCGACTTTTATAGTCCCAAGCTTTTATGGGTCCTTAAAAGTCATCGATCTTAAGAGCTTTTAAGAGGCGCAAACAGTCTCCAAGAGCCTTGCTCGATTTGTTACAGTCCCGGAGATTCTCTATTGCCATAGAGCTTTTGGTAGTCTTCGAGAGTTTTAAAGGGTCTCTCATCTCTCAGAATCTTCAAAAATATTTAAGATAAATCTTAGGGAGCCTTGAACATAAATACCTTTAGGTTCTTTGAAAATGTATAAGATACGTTATTGGTCTAGAGTTTAACTCTCTAACAGTAAACTATTTCTACATCTATTTAATCGCACACAGTGTCCAAGATCTCATTGAGTATACAAACATTTTTTAGTCCTTGAAGTGATTCGACCGTACACATCAGGGTGACCAAATCTGGTCGTATGGACTCTATAAGTGATAGAACCTCGTAGTTTCGATGTATCTCCACTAATTTCTTATGAGAAATTGCAAGGTCAATTCTGGTAGTTTGTGATGCAATTAGGGGCTGTGCGCATTAATTATGTTTAAAAGATGCACACATGCAACCTCAACTGATCATATTAATGTTACCCATTAGTTCCATTACACAACCCCCTTCTTAAGTATTTGATGTAAATTAAAACTTAATATAAATGAGGACTTTTAGGCTTACCTAATGTAGTTGCTCAGTTCGGGCGCCTTTCGGATCGAGTAGTGACCGCAACGCAGCTCTTCCGGTAGCAGATGTAACGTAACGGTTCGATTGTGTCGCTCGGCCACCTCGTACAGCTGCAAAATTCACCTCGATTTTCATCAAAGATCAAGCGGCCCACCTTTTTCGGCTGCGTGGAAAAGGCGAAGAAAGTGGGCGCCACTAATTCACTTTTTGGTTACCGTTTCGCTAAACCTGTACGGGTTGTTGCGATCGTCCTTGGCGTGAATGATCATTACGCAGCAATTCACTTCGGTCAGATGTCTGGTCGTGTTGAGTACGAATCGGTGCTCTTGTAACGAATCCAGCATGGTTGATTTATACCACGGTAGCCACGAAAAGAACTGAAATCAATGGGATTGCTCAATTTTTTATGATTTAGGTGGTCGAAATTGTTATCCTACATATACTTTAAGATTGCTAAAACCTTTGACTCCACAAATCAGAAATTTACCTAATCCCTAACGGATTCTGCGTCCCATATGAAACAAAAGATTTTTTAATAGATAATAATAAACCAACTTTTACGAAATTATCAAGACAAACTAAAATAAGTATATTTACATAGAAAATAAAGCGTACTGTAACGTAAATTTAATTACGTAATTTAATTATTTACAATTAACTAAAAATAAATGGATGACAGTCTTGAAATGAATTGAGTTATAACAGTTAAAATATTATTTATCACACAATACACAATTTATAACAGCGCGAACTATTTACTACTTCGGCGTTAAAATTGGAACTGACTGAAACACAATGATTTGCTTATATAGCGCATACGCCCCTATTTCTCGAACAAACCACGCCATATTTCCCGGAAAGAATGCGAATGCCTCACATCGTTACCACCGTAAATACAAACGTTCGCGTTCGTTTCTTATCGCCGATGACTAAACTTTTATGGCGCCTCGGTGTCTATTGGGATTTCTAAAATATTCGGTACTTAAACGTTTCCCCTTTTAAAACAAATGGAAAGAAATTCTTGTACGTAGTTATACAGGGTTTCGGGGGGGGGGGGGGTTCCTGGTCCAGTTTCACCAGAAGCACATTCTCGATCTTAGATCACTCGATTTTTTCTTGTGGGGGGGTTTTCAAATATTAGAGGGCTTTGTCGGTTTATAGGTTAATACGCCACTGATTACTAGCCCGCATAGATGGCGACACTGCTTACAACTAATTTCACCTATTCATTTCATGCATTGCGCACACGAATTTATAAATTAAGATGGACTGCTAATGATGAATTAACAAAATGACACCTACATGGGGGCCGCCATGAAGTGCACTCACTTGGCGCGAAATTTAAATCAACCAATAAACAAGCATTAACCCAACATTATAACCTCACGTTTTCTAAATAAATTACTGTGACACACATGCCATTTTCCAAGGCTGCAATAGTCTCAAAACTTGAGCACTAGGAAAATTCCCCTAGAAAATAACTAAAATGTGCACATAATGCGGCGCTCATGCTAGGGCCCTTTCTAAAGTCACTAGATATAGTACTGTCATGTTTTATAATAGTTATTTATGTATTAAGGGCATAATAGTGATGTTTATATTCTCGAGGGCGACGAGTTAAAAAGCACGAGGGTCTATGGCCCGAGAGCTTTTTAGTCGCCCGAGAGTATAGACATCAGTTTATGCCCGTGGTACATACACAATTTTATGTTTTAAAAATAGTTTTCTTCGTCAAAATTCGTTTACAAAATAATTCATTATGTTTGATCGAGTATGCGTGGTTCGAATTTGTTAATGTGATTGAAACCATCCAAACGTCAAACGTAATTTTAAATAATTCAATTCATCGTGAATGAGGAAGAAGTTTCAGAAACTATACGAAATAAGGTCAATCTTGTGATTTAGTAGGTACTGACAATTAATAATTGACGTTTCTAATTTTCAATGACCTGCAAATGTTTGTGTGTTTTGTCATTAAGTACAATGTGTTGCTATGGTGATACTTAATGCCCTAGGGCATAAAGTACGCCAGCGTATCACAGATATAAAATGTGTTATGATAGGTTAGTAAGACATAAAAATATATACAGATATCTCCAAACAGGTGGAACAATCCCTAACATTAAAGTTACTAGAATCTGGTAACTTCCTCCATTTTTGGGCAAAAATCATGCGTTCTCTCTCTAACACACGAGCCCAATGGATTGCGGTACTTTCTATATTTAGTGACTTTAGGCCATTTCTACCTCTATGCAACTGTTTGATCAGAAGTCCATCTTAATTTATAAGTTCGTGATTGCGAATGATTCCTTTGTGTAAAGTTGACGTAATAATTTCACTCATTAATTGAAGGTTGTGAACCGTGAACATTAATAAATATTGGCTAAATGTATAGAAAATCACTTACAACTACCGGCGCTTGTTAGTTATGCAGTAGTTCTTTGTACGTTTAGTAGGTAAGATGCACTGTGTCAAACTAACTAAAAAGATTTAGGTTAGGATTTCAAAATTTGAGATTAATTGTGCAAAGATCACAAATACTTACAGCAATCATACCTAAGGTGGAGGTTAGTGTCCGAAAAACGCATGCGGATTAGTAGATTTCCGTGCCATTTACTTTGTAAAACGGATTGAACTCCAACTGATCCCTGATTGCCGTAAACGGTGCTTCCAAAACTAATCCGTTGACGTACAGATCCTCTCGTTGCAGCTTCACGACGGCGTGAGTCGACAAGGCGGCGCCAATCGAGTGCCCCCAAAAAAACACGTCCGCATTGGTCCGGGCCCGCAGCCACTTGTACAGGGAGACGCAGTCTTCGACGATTCCGGTCTCTTCGGGAATTGCTTCGCTCGAATCGGCGTATCCTTGAAACACGCGTGTATACGTTTCGGGCGTCGCACACCCCCTCACTTACCTCGATAGTCGAACGCGATGACATGAAAAAATTTGCGCAAAACGTGATACATGTTCGCGAACTTGATGCGATTACCTCCGTTCGCGTGGAAGTAGACCACCACGGGAAATTTGCTATGTTTTAAGGCGTAGTCGTAATCGAATTGCTCAAAAAAGATGTACTCGTCGGCGAGCGCGTGCGGCAGCAGATGCCAAACGCCGAGCTGTACGGCCGAGTCATTACCGACCGACACCATCAGATTCCGACCGCCGTATATGTTGTACTTTTGAAAATTCGAAAACTCCGGCTCTTCGGGAAGCAGGTTGTCTGAAATCGACCGTCTCCGGGTACACGTCCACACGTGCGAAAGTACTTACGGGTGGGAAACACGAAGTATCTCTGCAGTTTTTCGGAATTTTGTATTGCCAGCGGTACTCCGAGAAGGATGATGAGGCAGGTCAGCAAGAAGGAGGCAAGTCTGAAAGG